TATATATACAAACACACACATGTATATATGTAAAATTAAAAGCTACAGGTGATGAGGAGCTTCGGTAGAACAACAGTGAACTGCGGTCAGATGAGATGTTGTCAGGCCATATGTCAGTAAAAAACATTTTTCCTGTCCTGTCAGCCGTTATACTGCACTCATAGCATGTGCTCTTCAGTGGCATGCACAAATGCAGTGGCGCGCGCTGTATATCATTTCATGCATGCAATGTCGTAGTTATGTCGTCAGTTAAGTCATGAAGTTACCAAAAAGGCAATTAAAGCTGCACTTAAACTGTGCATGTAAGTATTTGTTATATATGAGTCAGATTTCAGAACATGTCTCTGAAATGCAGTGGTTTTCAAAACTGTCGTGGAGCAGCAGCACTGTCTCCCTCATCTGACACACTCGATTCAACTCCTCAGCTCTTTAGTGGGTCAGAAAAGGTAAAGCGTTGAGAAAATAGGATGCGTGTCAGATCCGCGTCATGTTCAGCAGCAGCAGCTCTTAAAGCAGCCAAAATAACCTCATAACCAGCTGCTGTGATGTCTGTTCATCAAAGAACAAAAGAGGAAATCAGTCACTTTAGTACTTATAAGAATTCATCTATATTCAATCTAGAATTTAGTGTTTGATAACTTCATTCAATTTCTGTATATTTCCTACTTGCTGAAGAGCACAGGTAAATATGACATGTATTATAATGGGTTTATGTGAAGTTAGTTTTAAGTTCACTTAAATTAGAAGTTGTTGTTTTTTGAAGTCTAATAAATGTTCAAATTGATTGCTCTCAATTATTCTGTAATGTTGAATGGATATAGTCTGGTTAAATAGTAGAAAAAAAATTAATTGAGACATTAGTAGTAGTATTGGTATCAGTGATACTCACCTTCAGTCATAAAAAAGATGCCATTAAACATATTAAAAATATACTGTATTTATGTTGTTTCTACATCAATTTGAAGATTGAATGTGAAATGATTGCAATGTAAAAGTATATTTAAAAACTTGTTAGGTGGGATTAATTGCGATTTAATTTCAGAAGAAATGTGCGATTTAGTAAAAATGTTTTTATTGACTGACCGCATATATATATATACACATAGCTTTCATTTTATTTCATTTTTTAGTTTGTCATTTTAGTATTTTTTACTTATTTTATTTCAGTTGGTGGCCAGAGCAACATTTAAAATGTTTGTTTTTAATATATTATTATTATTGTTATTAGATCGGTTTCTATTTTATCTTTGTCAATTATTGGGGTCCAAAAACCCCAAGTTGATAAAATCATTTGCTCATCTGCTTAGATGTTTCTTTAATGGGGTGTTTTTGTGTTTCAGAAGAGAGAAGCGTTGCGTCACAGTTTACCCACCAACGGTCACGGGTCACATCTGTCCGGTGAGTGTCTCGCGTCCACACTGACATCATGTAAAATGTTATCAACGAGAAAGAATCTGTCATTACTAAAAGTTTTCTGTATGTGTGTTTATCTACAGCGGTTCATCGGGTTCAGCCGTGGTTCCATGGGGGCGTGTCTCGAAATGAAGCTCAAAGGCTATTGGAGGAGCAGGGTCAGGTGGATGGGTAAGAATGATCTGATTTTTTTGTGTATCATGTACGTTTGCACTGTAAAGTTGTGTTTATACAGATTTCTCCTGTCTGCAGGATGTTTTTGATTCGTGACAGTCAGCTGCACGCGCAGTGCTTTGTGTTGTCCTTGTGTTATAAACTGAAGACCAAACACTACCTCATCATTCCCGTAAGCCTTTCTGTCTTGCTGTGCTTCAGGTTGTGGATAGTTGAAATACACAAGATATTTTCATCTTGATCTCTCTTTCTTGTTCTCTGTATCTCTGTAGTTAGAACAAGGGGATAAACAGTACTACACTATGGACGATGGTGTCACACTGTTTACAGATCTGCTGCAGTTGGTGGAGTTTCACCAGATTAACCGCGGCATCTTACCCGTTTGTCTCAAACACCCCTGCACTTGCATTGCAATCTAAACCTTCAACTTTGACCTCTCCCTCAAACCTAGGACCTAAATGAACCAGCACCAGTCTCTGGACCATTAACGTTTTCATTTTATGACTCGAAATGGATGTCAGGACATTCACAGTTTTTCATAATCCCCCCAAAAAAGACTATTTCTGTACATAGTAATTCTATTTATATTTGATATACCTCTAGCACACTTTAGAGCGTATATAGGTCTTTAATATTGGTTATCCTACCAAAAATACTCTAATAGTTTATGGAATATTTGTTTACAAGCTATTTGTATTTATCATCCTTCTATCCGGGAATGTTTCTAAACCGGAAAGTGCACAATCATGTGGGAATTTCCTGCTATTCCTTCTTTCAACACTGGGAAGCGCACTGATGCTTTGAATGCTTTACTGCTCATTTATTCTTAATTTATGCAATAGTCATGCAGGGATACATTAATGCATATCTGAAGTTTCATAAGGAGACTATTTCAATGTAGCAGATTTAGTATTAATCTTATTATTATTATTGGTAATATTTTTTTTTTTCTTCAACACCATGTCTAATTTATGGGTGTTTTTTCATAATACTGACGATTAAGATAATCGAGGCCAGTTTACATTTGCTTTATTCTATATTTTTATTTAGTTTATTCTGTTTTATCTTTGTTTAGTACTTGTTCTGGTTAACAGTTGTACTTGTGCATGTAATTTAATTCTGACCAAAACCTCAAAATGAAGTTGTAAATAAGTAAATGAGTGTTTGTGTTGTTTTAGTAGTTTTAATCGTGTGTACTTGTGTGTTTTTCTGTATGCTTCAGTTAACTTGACATCACCAGTGCATCAGTTGTCAGGTCTCCACTGTGTTGTTGCCATGGAGATCGTTCCTATAATATTCAAGGGAGGTCATCAGTCCAGGCAGTAGTATGTAGGCTATATATGCCGATTTGCTTGACTCACTTTGAATCAGATGATTGAATGAGATGGTAATTTATTCAGATGTAAGTGAGGTGATCACCTCACCGTAGCTGTTGATAAATCATTCATTCATCTTATATTATAAGGGTAAATAACGGAGACCGTGATCAGTCGGTGAGTCAGTGAAGGACACGTCATTCATCCTGACAATATTAAATATCAATATAGTGTGAACATAAATTTGAGAGTGTAATGAATAATCAATGTGAAATAAGTTCTGATTTCAACAGAGTAAAAAAAGTTAGTCATCTGCGTAACTGTTGTGAGCATGGATTCATTTTCATTATCCATCCATCCATCATTCCATGGGCTCACGCCCGTTGGTGTCCAACGCCCATCTGACGCTCCATTTCCACTGTGCACGGTCCTGTGCCATCCTGCTAAGAGAGTGGATGTCCCTCTGACACCATTCTTTGATGTCATCCAACCACTCCTTACTCAGTCTTCCTCTCCGTATCCGTCCATCCATGATCCCAAACACCACACACTTCACCAGTCGCTTGTCCTCCATCCTGCAGATATGTCCAAACAGGCTGAGCTTCCTCTCCATGATGAGTTGTACGATGTTCCTCGTGTTTCCAACTCGTCTTTGCACCTCCACGTTTGTGATTTTCTGATGCCAGTGAATGTGCAAGATTCTCCTGTAGCACTTCATTTTCATTATATTAATATAAAAATATATGCATTAATGTATATTATTATTATTATATAAATTCAATTGAAATTTTATGATATTTTAATCATAACAATTGAATTTGCAATTATGTATGTGTACGTTTATATGTATTTATAAATATTTATGAATGTATTTATTATAGTTTATAAATTATATTATTAATTATATTTGATTTATTAATAAAAAATGTGTCATATAATTGTATAAAGTATACATAATATTAATGTATAATTAAATGTGTGTGTGTGTATATATATACATATATATAATTATAATCATAATTGAATTTGCAAATAAACGTTCATTTTTTATAAATGTATTTATTATAATTTATTAATTATATTACTAATTATAATTGGTTTCTTCATTATAAGTTTTTTCATCATATATATTTAAACAGAAATCTACATAATATTATTGTATAATTAATCAAAATATAACAGATAATTATAATATATACTTTTAGGTTTATGTATAATTATGTATGTAAATTATATATTTATCAATCAAGGTGGTCTAATTTAATAGCATGAAAAAATTGCAATTATTTATGTATAAATTAAATATGTTTGTTTATTTATCTAACAAAAAATGATGGCAAACAAAGCTTTGGATTTCACTCATGTATTCATGGAATACAAATACATTTAAAAAAAAATAAAAAAATTTATATACAGTGTTCATTCTAATCCTAGCCATGATATAGTTCAGCATTGTTTTGGCTTGTGACTTTTGTGCCCTTTTTTTGTCTTCACCAGCTTGCCGTAGCTCCACCTTACCTACCGCAGACACTCAACCGGTCAGTCACCACTCTTATTTATTTATGAGGTATGATTAATTTAAGATTGAACAATGTCCCCAAACCTGCATAAAAGCTTCATCTCCACCTTTCCAATACACACTTTCATCACACACACACACACACACACACACTGTAACTTACTGTGGTGATTGCAAGGTGAAGCTCTGCTGAAACTAGGCCACAGACACAGAGAACAACACATGAGGCTCCTCTGAGTTTAAACATAGCGCTCTAAATGGATTCAAAATCGGTTTCATTTGATCAAGATCAGGAGTTCGATTCATTGTTCCAATTAGTGCATACATGTGCAAGTAATTCTGAAATCTTATGATTAATTATTCTTACCTTCCAAGTTAAAGTGATTTAACTGAAATAAAATTGGCTACAGTTCTGATCTGCGCAATGCTTCGAGTTGCATTAAATGTATACATATTTCCTGTAGTTTTAAGGATAAAGTCAAATGCATTTTGATGTTCGATGTGAATGGAATAGTTTGTCTCTCTTCTGAAGCTCAAATGACACTGAGAGTTTAGTGTGACAGAAGTGGATTGAATTGCAGCTTCTGTTACGGCACGTCTGTTCTGTCCAAAGTACCTTTGCTGAACAGTTCATTTTTACCTGATGACCAACATAATACAGCAAATCAAATTTAAGATGTATCAACATCTGTTATTGCAATCTTAAAACACTTTCATTTGCTTTTACATTCTGATTTGACTTAAAGTATTTAAGAGTAAATCTATTTTACATACATGCATGATACTTAAAATATAATTTAATATCAATATTATGTACATTTATTTTAAAATCTTTTATGTAAAGTATTTCCTTTATTTTAGAAGTTTGTATTATGATATCATATTTATGTTGTGTTTTATATTGTTTTAATATTAGTATTATACGTATATAATTCTAGAATATTTTCAATTATTTAAAAATATATATTTGATAGAAATAACATTTTAATATATACACTTGCTTAGATTCTGTGGCATTTATCATAATTATTTAATTTTTGTGTAGTGTGTCATTAAATGGTCATTAATGATCTATTGATTAAAATATTTAGATGATGTGTATTATTTTGTTTTACATTGAAATATTAGTACTATTATATAATTCTAAATTTTTTTTAAATAAATATATTTTGTTAAATAATACTTTATTATATGCACTTGCTTAGAGTCTGTGTTTTAATACAGTATAATGATTATTATTTTTTAAATTATTCTTTTTTGTGCAGTGCATCATTAATCAATTGATTAGAGATGACCTTCATTATCTGTATTTCAATTCTTCTCTCCTGGCTTAATTTTTCCGGAGCTGTATTTGCAAATCAGCCTCTGTAGTTCATGTAGTGTTGCCATCCTGCAATTATCCCTCGTTTTTTCCCCTCTTCACCCATCCGACCCTCCCCCTCTTTCCCTCATGATGGTTCAATCCATGAACCTGCTGAGCCCATGTGTGTAGGGTATCGGTTCACTATACCTTTAAGAGGAGGAGGGGGGGCTGCTGGTGGAGTGGGGGTTTATATGAATATCAGATGAGCTCAGTTTGTGCCATGCGGGCTTGGACACACACACTCACACTCACAAACACCACGCTGGCCAGCAATATGCTGGTGCAGATGATTCCCACCGAAGACACAGATCTGAGACAGAGAGAGAGATCAGGATGGGTGTTACAGGAGAAATGAAGGAGGACGAGGCTGCGTAAGACAGCACTGAAAGATAAAGCGAGGGTGGGTGAGCAGACTGGAGGAGAGAAGAGGACAGACAGCACCAGCCTCAGCAGGTATGTGGCGTTGCATCACCGTTATCCTCTAGGATTGAAGATTCCCATCTATTCCCATCATGAAGCAGGTTGAATGCAAAAATGATCCATTGAGAAACCACAAACTGTTCTGGTTTCACACTGACAGATACTGAGAGCTTTGTGCCTTAATGCTGAAGCTCCAGTTTTGATTGCATTTGAATCAATATTCATAAGGCACTTTTTGTTCTAGTCTTCTAGAGTCGGAGGGACAGACAGACAGGCAGAGAGAGACAGACAGGCAGATGCATGTGGATTTTAATGCACTGTAATGGACTCTGCACACAAGCTATATGAACTCCTGTAAGTGTGTGAGCGAATGCCGTGGACCGATGGGATGTGGCGACTGTCTCTCCATCATTTCATGGACTGCAGAGAGAGTGAGACCGCTGGAGAGACAGACGGGGAGAAAGAGTGATCCGAGAGGGAAAAGTCCATCCTCTGCGGGAATACGAGGAGTGATTTCGAGACAGGAAGGTGAAGTAACAAAGGTGCTTTTGAGGTGGAAGCAGAGCTCTGGAAGTGTACAGTAGTTTGATTGGCGAGGAAATACCTTTGAGATTAATCCATGAGATGGGAGGGAGGAACATATGATGGACTGAAAAACAGGGAAGGGAAGAGATATGACAGCAGAGGAGGTGGAGTGAGTAGAGCGAGAGTTGAGCTGTGGAGAAAGGGATGAATGGAGGAAGAGAAGCCCGGGCTGATGTACCCATCAATCCATGATAAATCGGCAAATAATGTTGGGTTGTTTAAACGCCCAACTGGTCATATATTGACTTTCGCGGCTCCTGTGCTGAATGGAGCACAAATTGATAATTTCAAACCATAATGACAGTTAGTTCACTTAAAAATTTAATTACTTACCTCATGTTGTTTTAAAACCTTCTTTTAGAAGAAATTTTGAAGAAACAATATTGGACTTCATTGACATTGTATGGACAAAAACACAGATCTTCTTTTCTGTTCCACAGAAGTACGAAAGTCATACACGGTTTTGGAACGATATGAGTGTGAGTCATGAGGCATTTAGCCTACGTGACACCATTTTCAAAAAAAGGGAAAACTTTTTATGTTTTGGCCATTCATTTACCATTGTAAATGGTTACGTCATACGCATTCATATTACGTGTTCAGTCTATAGGAATGTGTGCAGATGCGTAGTATTTCTTTACAAAGTGACATCGCCATCTACTGGCCTGGCATGCATAATACAGCGTTTTTAGTCATTTTCGCGGATCAGTGTGAACGGGGATTGTTTTACAATGTTGTTGTCTGTACACAAAACTTTTTAAAAAATGCAAAGGAAAAATATTTTCTTTTTTGAGTGCATTGTTGTTGTCTAAACGTATCCATTTTTGGGTGAACTGTCCTTTTAAACCCATGATCCAGTTACACCATTGCTGAAAAGATCTGATTTATATCCATGTGCGCTGCTGGACAGGGGGTAATAGTGGAACAGAGTAACAGGGGCCCTTTGCGAGGGGGGCCCGATCGCGAACACATCACCCCCACACTGAACGTGATTTTGCGGGGGCCCCATAGCAAATTCAGTGCACAGGGCCCAGAATTCCTACCGATGGCCCTGTTTATATCATAGATGTATAAAACACTGGACAAGCAGATGTTTGTTGTTAAAGGGGTCATATGATGCTGCTAAAAAGAACATTATTTTGTGTATTTGGTGTAATGAAATGTTTATGCGGTTTAAGGTTAAAAAAATACATTATTTTCCACATACTGTACATTATTGTTTCTCCTCTATGCCCCACCTTCCTGTGCACTGTAAAGCTTCACACTTGAATTAGCACATTTGCAAGATACCATCCAGAACATACCATGCACACACACACAGACACTGAGCGTCAGAAACATCATTCTAGAGCAGATAAGCTCTCTGCAGTGTTATATAGTGCTGAGGTGACCGCGTGCGTCCCGCTGAAGAGATGGGAATTAAAGAGCCGCTCACTCACTACTGAGGAAGGAAGAGGAGGGAGTCGACTAAGGAGTAAATGAGTGCCAGGAGAGATGGGGTGGAAGAGGCTGATAGTGGAAGAGAGACAGGCTCTGTTACTGTGGGTCCCTGTAGACTGCATGGATTAGGAAGACAGGCGCATGTGCAGCGCCCATGGATAGATCATGGATTACAGTAATGCACTGACTCTCAGCACACAGACATACTGCAATACTGCATTTCTATGAGACAATACATTACAGAACATTACAGAATGACTGCATAACAGTGACATCATACAATGCAATATACTGTACAGTACAAAACTACACATGTGCAACAATAACTGCTGCATTCATTTGTTCTATCTATCTATCTATCTATCTATCTATCTATCTATCTCATAATGTTGGTGTTTTTGTGGTTTAGTTCTCCAACAGATCTAGGTATTGCTGTAGTCCCTGTGGTGGATGACAGCAGCACCAGATCATCTGCGTACAGCAAAAGCTTGATGTTTTCGTCTTGTAGAATGAGTCCAGGGGCTGTAGACTGTTCCAGCTGCACCGCTAATTCATTAATGTGAATTTTGAACAGTGTTGGTCTCAGGCTACAGCCCTGCTGCACTCCTCTCTTCTGGGTGAATAGTTCTGTATGTTTATTGCCAATTCGTATTGCACATTTGTTGTTTGCACATACATTGCTTTTATAATATCATAAAATTTACCCCCTACACAACTTTGTAAAAGTTTGTAATATAATCCGTCATGCCAGATAGAATCAAATGCTTTTTTGAAATCGACAGTGTTTGGTCTGTTTTAGGTGTTTATTGATTAGGATGTATAGGGTAAATGTGGTCAGTAGTTCTATGATTTGGAAGAAAGCCAATCTGACTAGGGTTCAGGACACTGTGTTCGTTAAGGAGGTTCACTATTCTATTGTTTAAAATACTGCTAAATAACTTACCCAGATTACTGCTCACACAAATGCCTCAGAAATTACTAGGGTCCAATTTATCTCCACTCTTGTGAATTGGGGTAATAGGTCCTTGGCTCCAGATGTCAGGAAAACAGTCTGAAGTAAGTACAAGGTTGAAAAATTTGAGCACAGCTGTCTGAAGCTCAGGTGTGCTGTGTTTCAACATTTCACCTTGAATGCTGTTAGGACCACATTATTTTTTACATTTTTGGTTTTGAGTTTTTTTTGTAAATATTTTGTTAATAAATTTAGTGATTAGATTTTGAGGGCTGTCTGAAACCCATCTGTATCTTGGCTGGATTTGATACATTTTACAGGTTTTGAGTATGTTTTGTTTTGGTGTGTGATGTGTTTTAATATAAATGTTAATTTGCTTATGGTCAGAAAGCAGAGTTTGTTGTGTGACTGAAGGAGGATGGGTCCATGTCTCTCTCTCTCTCTCTCTCTCTCTCTCTATCTATCTATCTATCTATCTATCTGTCTGTCTGTCTTTTATGTATATATATATATATATATATATATATATATATATATATATATATATATGTTTTTTTATCTATCTATCTATCTATCTTAAAGAACCTTTGACTGAATGGTTCTTTGTGGAACCAAAAATGGTTCTTCTGTGGCATCGCTTGAAGAACCTTTTGAAGCACCTTTATTTTTAAGAGTGTAGGAGTGTGTTTTTGAGTGAGCAATACTATAATTAGCACTGTTGCACTGGCATTTTAAGTCTTCAAGTGTTAGGTGCCAAAATGTCTCTGATTGAATGGTCATTGTCAGTCCACAAAGAGCAAAATCATGTTTAAAAGGTACGATTTTGACATTATGAACAACTGGGGATAGTAATAACTGGATTAGATTTATCTCTGCGTTTTCTCTCTTAAGACCATTTTTTGAAGGTCTTGGTCTTGTCTCGGTCTCAGACTAAAAGGACTCAAATTTTTTTTCAAGACCACAACTGTGGGAATATCACAATTTTTTTGTTGTTTTATAGTATTTTAATGCTTGTTTGGTCTTATTTTAAATAATTGTAAGTCATCTTGAGACCTCCTTGTAAGTTTTTTGAGGCCCCCTAGTGGGTCCCAGCCCCCTGGCTGAGAAGCACTGATTTATATACTGTTATGCTGGGTCAGAAATTAATGAGGGATTGTATCAAAAATGTCACCAAAATGTTTTCAACTTCATGCACTCAACTGTCGCAGCTTTAATTATGTCGCAGAGGGGGAGGGGCTATCAGACTCTGATTATGAGTGATAAAATAAAATTATAAAATTCATATACTACACTCTAAAAAATGCTGGGCTAAATATAACCCAGCACTGGGTTAAAAAGGGACAAACCCAGCTATTGGGTTGTTTTGATCCAGCG